TCAGCAGCTTGATGCCATGAAAGCTGGCATCTCTCTGATTTTCTTGATCTTTTCCTCATGATGTGAGATGCTGATGCAGCCCTAGGCATTATGTTCAAGGCAGTAAGAAATGAGCAGTGGGGGCATTCCAGTCACAACTAGAGTAACTGTCCCTCTGGTTATAACCTTCCCTTTAGTGTCCCCTTAGGACACTTTATTCTCCAGACAGAAGTCAGGGCAATTCTTTTAAATCATTTGATGTCATTCTTTTACTCAAACCCTTCAGATTACTCCTCCCTGTCCCAGAGTGAAGCCAGAGTCCTTACAATGAACAGTAAGGCCAGTGATGTGCTGATAGACACAGGAAAAAACAAAACAAAAACAAAAACAAAAAGGCCCTGATTTGTAATGTTTGTTAATTTCCATGATGTAAATATTCCCATGATGGCTGTTTCAGTGTGAAGTCACTGTAAGCAGAGTCGGGAAGAGATGGGCACATTTGGCTCTTATGAGCTTGTGTGAGTTGGTACCAGCAGCTTCGTCACACCACTGCATCTGGTCCGCCATCTACTTCTCTGACCTTGTGTGGTGCCTCTCTTCCCCCTCATGCTCCTGTCTCTGCATTGATCTTCTTGCGTTGTATTCCCAGTATTCCTTGTTTATGTTTGTATGTTCTAACCTTGGGGCCCTTGCTGTTTTTCTCTCTGGTCCTCCCACAGATAACTGCAGGTATTGTTTGCTCACTTTCCTCAGCTGTCTACTGAAATGTCACTTTGGGGTCACCACCTAAGATCGCAACCCCACCCCAAGCCCATCCCAAGAAATTCCCTAATCTCCATATCCTACATTTCTCCTTTGTGTTTATTAACACTTACATATTTACCTCGTTTTCCTCACGTTAGCATAAAAGCTCCATGTGGGCAGGGATTTTGTTTTGTCATTACTTTATTCCCATTTCTTAGAACAATGTCTGACACATCCTTGGTGCTGAATAAATGAAGGTAAACGCTCTCCCAGAAATCCTCCAGGAGACTTTTGTATATGTCTCATTGGCTAGAATGCTGTCACATGGCTACCTCACTGCAAAGGAATCTAGGAAAGCAAGTATTTGGTTTTCCATCCTCTATAGTATTGGTAGTGATGGAGAAAGGGTTGGGTCAGGCACCCAAGACAATGCAGAACTGGTGAGCAGACGTTTATGTTATTCTTATTTGCTAATGACTCCCATTTTCTTTCTCTAGCCTAGGTTACTGGGCAGTTCAGCTCATGGTCCCCTTAGGCTGGGGTGATGTGCTGTGTTTTCATTCCAGACATCTGAGTGTCAGATGAGCAGACAAAACTGTCTGCTGGTAATCTCTACCTAGATGCTGCATGGGTACCTCAGCATGTGTTGTCCTCCTGTTTTCTTCCAGCTGGAAATTTGTGAGTCGCCACTGACTCTTCCCTTCATCTTCCCACATCTATAAAGTAAGACAAGCTAATTTGATCTCACAAATACGTCTTGAATTCTCTCTAATTTCTATTCATGTTGCCACGGCTCTAGTTCTGATCCTTTTTTCCTGCTGCCTTTATAACTACGCAGCTGAGACTGGTCTTTGAATCCATCACTAGGGCACGAATAAAATAAAAATACAGATCTGACCCTGATATTTTCCTGCTTAAACCTTTCAGTGGCCCTTCCTTTTCAAGGAGAAAGCCAGAGCTCTGTGATCTGGTTTCTAATGCTCCCTCTACCCCTGTTTCCCACAAACCCCGCCTCTCAGTTCATGCCCCAGCAATACCTCATTGCTTATAGTTTCCTGCGTACTCTGTCCTTTCTTTTCTCCATGTCTTTGTTCTTTCTGTCTCTCTACCTAATTATTGTCCCCTTATCTCTTTTGGCTAATTTCTGTTTATCCTTTATTCTAGTATCCTTTACTTCCTGGATAGTCTAAGTGCCTTACTTTTTCCTCCCAAGTATCAATGCTTAGTTTTATTATTTCACATAGCACACAACTATTGTAGGTATCTGTTTATGGGCCTTTTTAACCCTGCTAGGATGTGAGATCCTTGAGATGCAGAAATTATGTCTTATTCATCTTTGTATCTTCAGCACCTGTTCCAGGGCCTGGCACATAGTAGGTGCTCAGTACAGTTTGGTTGAGTGACAAGAAGAACAAGCTAAGCAGTAGGGTAAATCAGAGGGAGCAGCAGACATAGACTGGGGTTGAGATGGTGAACCAAAGTTGGCAAAGCCTTATAGATTCAGAGTGTGGGAGACCAGCCAAGGAAAGAAACAAGGACTGAGGCCAGGAGAAGAGGACCAGGAGGCTAGAAATTTACGAAGATATCCTGAGCATTAAATGGCAAGAACCCAGTTGGCTGGATCCAAACAAGAGGTCAGAATGGGGAAGAGACTTGTGTGCATAAACATAGAACCCTGGCAATGAGACTGGAGCCTGCTGTTGGGCCAGGAGACCTTCAGAGATTGTCTGCTGGGAGCCAGAACTTGTCTCCAAGTATGGGCAGGTAGACCTCCAGGAGGAGGCAAAGAAGAGGGTAGATTCTGCCAGGCAGTTCCTAATGTGCTCTGTGTATAATATAAAGCTCACCCAGGGCTGTTGGATATACCTTGCCTCAAGCATCAATTCTAATAATGTGATCCAAACAAATGACAGAAGAACTTTTGTCGTCTAAGTTAAATTATCCCCTTCATGGTATGTGACCTTGCATAATATCCATGTCGAAGAAAAAGTTAACTTTTTAAAAATGTGTGAACTGAATGAACAATTCAGTAGATGTTTTTGCATTTGGGGTGATGGAAGTCAGCCATCCTTACCCTTGTGTCAGGCGTGGGTGTGAGCACCAGCTATCGTTTTTCCCATGGAGGTCAGGGGCAGAGCTTTTACAACATTAATGGTAATGGGATATGTGAGGGAAGCTGCCCTGAGGAGGCTGGAGCTCTGGTTAGGACTCTGGATATTCTTGGCCTTTAATGCATCCAGCCACCTGCACTGGAACCTGGAGTAGGTTTTTCTATACTCTTCAAACTAGAGGATAAGCCTTTTGTGAACAGGGATTATTTAAGTCTTTGGATTCTGTGAACTCCTTATTGCAGACTGCACAGCACTGTATGTCCTGTTTGCACCTGGTAAGCATTGATTGCACTGAAATTCAGCGGTGTGTGTGCGCTTGCCTGCATGCATGTGATGCTTATGGCCAAACCTCTGAGGAGATACGGCAAGGCCAAGACTCGATGTGACTGTTGTCTTATTAACTTGTAAAGTCTTTGCTGAAGCAGTTGCTGCCTCTGCTTAAAGAGAGACTTTTTCTTTGACCCATTTTATTGCAATAAATTTTCTTAATGTCTTTGTTTGTTCCTCAAGGTATTTGATGAGAGGGCAGCTAACTTTGAAAACCATTCAGGAAGGCTTGGGGCCACGGCAGAGAAGGCGGCTGCTGTTGGAACTGCTAATAAATCAACGGTGGAAGGCATTCAGGCCTCAGTGAAGACAGCCCGAGAACTCACACCCCAGGTGGGTTTCACTCCCCCTTCATCATGCCAGTACACACCATATTGAGTAAAGAAGGTTAATTACAGAACAGTTTCTATACATTTTTGAACACTTACTATAAAATATCATGAAAAAACCCACACATACCTTTAATGTCTAAATCATTTTTATATTGTTTGAATTTTTTACAGTGATCATGATTAGTTTTGAAAGTAGAAAAAACTAGTAAAACACCCCCCTCCCATACATAATTAGGGAAAAATTCAATAATCTTGAGAAGTTAGTTTATTTTGATTTTAGAGCTTATGCCTTTCCCCACATCTCTTTGATGGTATTTTAAAAATTTTAGATGTGTCCGTAATTTTTCTTTTTTCTTTAATTATATAACCAAGATGTAGCTAATGTACTGTAAACAGAGTATTGGAAGAGTGGGAACAAAAGAAAACAACTTGGACAGGAATTAAAGTTCTAGTACATGATAGATGTTCTTAAAAGATCACTTCAACATTGTTTAGTGTGATGTTTGTGCATTTTTTTCTTCCAATAAAATTACAGAAAATTCATTATCTTTTCATTCATTTATTCAGCAGATATTTCTTGAGTGCCTGTGGTACATTAGGAACTGTCTGGGCTTTAGAAATCTGTGATACTAGATTTGGTGGGGAGCTTCTAGACAGAGACAGGGAAAATAAGCTTGTCTCTTAATTGTTCAACTTTTGCCAATGTGGCATGTTAACAAGTTAGATTCTGTTGAAAAATCATACTTGTCTAGCTTTTAAAAAAAATGTCCATAAAATATGAACATGTCTAACTTTCCTTAAAAATTTCCATAAAACATAGAACATAAAACATAGGATTTCTCTATAAAACTGAGATTTCTGAAAAAACAGAAACAGAGCAGTAGGCTTAAGACACCAACTATGGAAAGAGCAAGGACTTTGGAGACAGATCGGGATTCGAATCCTCTGTCACTTTGAGTTTCCTTGTATAAAATGGAGATAATTCCTTCCTAGTGGATTGTTCTGAGGCTTGTGCAGCCTGTAACTTATCAAATACTCAGTAAATATTAGTTCCTTCCCCAAGTGCTGCAACTGACTAGCTGGGAGCTCTTGAGCAAGTCACTTAAATTTTCTGCGTCTTGGTTTTTGCAGCTGTGAAGTGGAGAAATTACTGTCCTGTCTCTCTCACAGGCTTGTTGTGAGGATTCAGTAAGACAGTAGATGTGAAAGCACACTGTTAACTGTAGACAGTTATTATTATTTAAAGGAACATTTATTTATTTTTTTATTTATTGGCTGCATTGGGTCTTCGTTGCTGCGTGCGGGCTTTCTCTAGTTATGGTGAGCGGGGGCTACTCTTCGTTGCGGTGCGCGGGCTTCTCGTTGCGGTGGCTTCTCTTGTTGCGGAGCACGGGCTCTAGGTGTGCAGGTTTCAGTAGTTGTGGCACGTGGGCTCAGTAGTTGTGGCTCGCGGGCTCTAGAGTGCAGGCTCTGTAGTTGTGGCACATGGGCTTAGTTGCCCTGTGGCATGTGGGATCTTCCCAGACCTGAGATCAAACCCGTGTCCCCTGCATTGGCAGGTGGATTCTTAACCACTGCGCCACCAGGAAAGTCTGACAGTTTTTAATAAATATTTATAAATCTGTTTTAAGTAATCTTTAGTATCTTTCTTAATGGTGCTTTTTAAGATGAGGCTTAAGTATCTGTCCGTTTTGGGTATGTTCAGAAGTATCAAGCAAACACCCGTTTACTTTGTCACTTTATTACCTTCTTAAAATCAGGCTGTAACTGTAAAATCTTTTGTGAGGGCCCATTCTGGGGAGCTGTTTATGAGACCAAAACTAAAGTGCTTGGTCTGAAAAGAGACTCCCCGATTTTTGGCCTTATAGTGCCACCTGTAGGTAAAGAGGGGGAACCTTTGCTGAAGGTTTATATTTGAGTGGTGTTTAAAGGTTGTTTTGTCATTGCCAGGTCGTCTCAGCGGCTCGCATCTTACTTAGGAATCCCGGAAATCAAGCTGCTTATGAACATTTTGAGACCATGAAGAACCAGTGGATCGATAATGTTGAAAAAATGACAGGTAGAGTTGTGTGCAAAATTCTTCCTGTCTGATCCATGAGAAATGAGTTCTGAGAAACTCAAACAGGACCAGTTATGTTACTCAGCTGTAATTGGATAAAGGGACCGTCATGTGCTCGACAGTGTACTTGGCCCTGATTAAGGCCGCTGAGCAGCAGCGGCTTCTCATTCAAGCCTTGCAACTTTGTCCGAAGAGAGACTCTTTGAGTCTCTTTGATTTTAATGTGGCCCTCCCGGTGTGATGTTTATTGTTACAGCTCCTATCTTCTCTGAATAGTGTCTTTTCTCTGTCTGAGCCAGAGTTTGGTTTCAGAGGCTGAGAGGCGGTGTTTGTGGATACAGTAAGTGTCCCTGTCATTTTCAGCAGGTTCACATTTCAAGGAACCACAATAGCTACCATTTAATACAACTTGTCTCAGAGTTTCCTCCAACTTATCAACTACGTAGTTTTTTTTTAAAAAAAGGAGAAACCAACAACTGACAAACCTGTGTCTGTGTGATAGAGGTGGCACCTCTGAATCTTCTTCATTCTCTGTGGAGGGAGGGATGGGAGAGGAAGAGATGAGGAATGTAGGCTCTTCGGCTTCCCTGCAGAACCTGCTGGGACAGGGGTCCATAGCAGCCAGAGATGAAAGTGGAGCTCCTGAGGTGTCTGAAGAGAGGTAACAGAAATAAGAAACAGGCTGTTAGGGTTATTGGAATCCTCTGCGTGGCTCATCTTGGGCACTACAAGCTGCCAATAAGCAACAGATGGCTGGGGAGTGAGACGGGAAGGGAGAAAATACTGTTAACAGATAATGTGGTGCTGATGCGGTGAAGGTTTCAGACGCAATCCTTGTTTCCTCCTGATGTCAAAGCGTTTCTGGTTGTCTGTGGTAGATACAAGAAGGCTGGTGACCACGGTCGGTATAAATGCTATGAGTCTGTATGGCCTCCTGGGCTACATTCTCACTTTTTTTTTTTTTTTACAATGGTGATCACCTGGAAGCTTTTGATTATGTAAAAAGGGTTTTGAGCTAAAGGTGAGAGTTATGGGTGTTGTACTTTCACATGAGAAATTTGAGTGGACAACAGGGTTTTGGAGTCTCTGTCCTTCTAAAATAGAAACTAAATTCCATTTCTGTTCTCCGGACAGGGCTGGTGGACGAAGCCATTGACACCAAATCTCTGTTGGATGCTTCCGAAGAAGCAATTAAAAAAGACCTGGACAAGTGTAAAGTCGCCATGGCCAATATTCAGCCTCAGATGCTGGTCGCTGGGGCAACCAGCATTGCTCGTCGGGCCAACCGGATCCTGCTGGTTGCTAAGAGGGAGGTGGAGAACTCTGAGGATCCCAAGTTCCGAGAGGCCGTGAAAGCCGCCTCTGACGAATTGAGCAAAACCATCTCCCCAATGGTGGTGGATGCAAAGGCTGTGGCAGGAAACATTTCTGACCCTGGTAAGCAATGCATGGTGTGGTTCACCTCAGCTGAGAGGTTAATTCAGGAAGCTGACAGGGTGGGGAGAGAAGATGCACCCCACAACCATGACACAACCTGGGAGCAAAAACTACAGATACTTAGTTTGAGGATACTATATTAATCTTTTTCTGTTCAAAATATGTTGGACAGAATATTTTCTGCAATTTTGGCAGGGTTATTGTAAGTTAGTTTCTCTGAACCAACTTCCCTGTGCTTTTTTTTTAAATTTATTTTTTATTTGTTTCTGGCTGCGTTGCTGTGTGTGGGCTTTCTCTAGTTGCGGCGACTGGGGGCTACTCTTCATCGCGGTATGTGGGCTTCACATTGCTGTGGCTTCTGTTGTTGTGGAGTATGGGCTCTAGGCACGCGGGCTTCACTAGTTGTGGCTCGCGGGCTCAGTAGTTGTGGCTTGTGGGCTCTAGAGCGCAGGCTCAGTAGTCGTGGCGCACGGGCTTAGTTGCTCCGTGGCATGTGGGATCTTCCCGGACCAGGGATTGAACCTGTGTCCCCTGCATTGGCAGGTGGATTCTTAACCACTGCGCCACCAGGGAAGTCCCTCTGTGCTTTCTTAATGTCTGATTAAATAACTCCTTGTCCTGTTTAGTCATTATTTTGGAAATTTCTCAAAAGATGCATAATAACCAATTTATCAACCATTTAGCTTATGTAACTGGCATACCTTCTGCTTTTCTTAAAATGCTTTTTCTCTGGACAACATTCTTTATTTCTGTCCAATCTGGAAGGCCTAAGTTAACCTATGGGTCTCCTAGGTCTTGATCTTGATCCTACACCAAAGAATTTGTGTTTTCTTTAGCTGAATTTTGATCCGTTTTTCATTACTGCTAAAGATGTAACCACTCCTTTTTGGTTGGAAACATCTGAATTCCTTCCTCCTGTGAGCCTCTAGTGTTTCTAGCCTCTTCTATGAGTAGAATCCACTCAGTGTGAGAGAGTGGGAAGGAGGGGCTGCCCTGTTCGTCCCTAGCCCAGGTAAAATCTTTCTGGTTTTCTCAACCCACCATCACTGAAGATGTGCTCAGTTTCCTAATTGGAGTTTCTAATAGTTTGAATAGATTCCTTAATTCTGGGTGACTGGACACAGTAGCAGCAGCTCAATGTAGGGGTTAATATGCTGAATGCCAAGTGGAGCAAAGGAGTAGGGAGAAAGGTGAGAAGTACTCCAGGGAATGTGTGCCCCATCTGAAATTTGACATCTCCCCTGTTCTGAGTGGGGCAGGCTTATCTCTCGACTGCTTTATCATGAGAGGTGATGAGCACCACCTGAGCCCAAAGTGTTCATGGCCCGGCAGTGCGCTCAGTACTTGTTAGCTGTACAGGCAAGAAGGCACCCTGAGCACTACAGGGATCAGCTGGTTTGTGCCACTTTTGACTCTTTGCAGGCCTCAGGGCATCTACCTGGCTCTTACCTCCCTTCCCCTTCAGTCACTGCCTGTGCTGCTTACTGGCAGCTTCATATCCAGCTTTTGTTACTGGAAACCAGTTCTTCTGCTGGACAGACAGTGCTCCAGGGCACTGACCTATCCAACTGAAAGTGAGGGCGTCTGTGTTTAGGCCTGCAAAAGAGCTTCCTGGACTCGGGATATCGGATCCTGGGAGCAGTGGCCAAGGTCAGAGAAGCCTTCCAACCTCAGGAGCCTGACTTCCCGCCTCCTCCGCCAGACCTTGAACAGCTCCGAGTAAGTAAATTCAGAGAGTTTGGGAGAATTGAGCAGCAGGGTGTCGGGACTGTAGCAAGAGAGAGGTAGGCTGTTCTGGAGCCTCGGTCACTAGGTAGCTTTGTTTAACTTCTACTTGAAGCTCAGTCAGAGGCACAACTCGACTTTCATTCTTGAATCTGGTGGAGTATTAACCGAGTGCTTATGCATGGCGTGTGCTGGGTAAGTGGGGGTCTTTGGTGTTGGCCTGCTCTGATGGGAAGTGACTGGAGCAGAGGAGCTGGCTGTGGTAAGTGTGGATGTGATGAGTGATGAGTTAGTGGGGCAAGTTAGTGAGAAGTGGGAAAATAATCTGCACAGTTTGTGGTGAGAATTTATGTGTTCCCAGTTGATGACAAAACTGAGGTGGTTAGACTCTTGTGTACATTCTTCTTTCCTTCATTTGACTTTTATTAGTAGCAAAAGTAATAAAATCCTTTTTTTTAAAAAAAAGTTAATTTTTCCCTAACTATAATTTTAAATCTTTTGATGCCCCACAAAGTACCATGAATTTTTTCTTCCATAGGTAAAGGGTTTAGGAGGAGGAAAGCTGAGCAATAGCTTGCAGATACAAATCCTAGAATCAGAAATAGTCATTATTTTTAGACATTTTCTCTGACAGTATTGGAAATAACTTGTCCTTGGGAATAGCTTATCAAAGCAATAATTTGATTTACTGTCCCTGATATACTTTCCCATATTTAATATCCCAAATTTACTTTTCCATATTTAAGTTTCTAAGTTTGTTGAGGACAAAGTTGGGTCACTGTGCCCATAGCTAATGAACAGTGCTTCCCTAGCCTTCAACGCTTCTTTTTTGGTTTGACTTGATTCTTTTCAGCTGGGCTGTTGGTGGGTGGCTAGGGAGGGCTATTCTGGGGCATGGATTCTTATGTGATCAATAGAGTCCTGACATTTGGAATCAAGAACTTAGAGGTCATTTGGTCTAGATATTCCTCATGGATAAACCCTTTGAGGAACCCAAGGCCCAGGGGAGAAGTTGTTGCTTATGCAGCTGCCCGTCCACAGAGTCAGGACCAGAACTTAGATCTCCTTTGAGGATCCTTGGCCCAGTAGGGCTGTGCGTGCCTCCCTGGGATATGTCCAAAACAGTAGGTGCTAACTTTTTGTGGAGAAAAAAGCAAGAAAATATGCTTCTGTTGAGATTGAAACAGGTGGTCCTTATGATCAGTGTGGATGGTCTTAAATGGAGTGGATGTGGGTGGCTTTTTGGGGGATGCTTTTTAAAGGAAAGGAAAGAATTCTGATGGGGAGTAGTTCCTAGAGCTTTACTTACAACCTGGTAATTCTTTCTTAGCTGACAGATGAGCTTGCTCCTCCCAAACCACCTCTGCCTGAGGGTGAGGTCCCTCCTCCCAGGCCCCCACCACCAGAGGAGAAGGATGAAGAGTTCCCTGAGCAGAAAGCTGGGGAGGTGATTAACCAGCCAATGATGATGGCTGCCAGGCAGCTCCATGATGAAGCTCGCAAATGGTCCAGCAAGGTAAGTAATGAAGCTCTTCTTGTTGAGAAAGGATAAAGAGCCATGTACACAGCCCAGGAAGTCTATTTGGAAAATCACCCTCTCTCTGCTTTGGTTCCTGTTATTGCCAATAGCACAATCCTCTTCTTTCTTGTGGTTTAGTGAGATGTTTCCGGTACTTGATGGTTTCTCCTTCTAGCAGCTAAAGTGAGAGCTAGGATACCTTAGTTAGAGTATGAAAGTTCTTTTCCTTCTGTCCTCTAGAGTGTCAGCTGATGCTGGACATTTGGTCTTTTAGAAATTGCTCTTCTTTCTTGGGGTCACTGAATGTTTTTAGATGCTCTCGTGCTAATTATCCACACTGCAAACATGGCACAGTCTTCTGTAGGCTCTGCTATAGCTACATGAAATATTTGCATTTTCCTTCTCTTTTCTCATAGAAGCAGGTAGATTGGTGTCTTAGAAGCCATGTGCTTTTTCCCTTTCTCAGAATCATCTCAACCCTCAACTCAAGACAGCTCCAGGCTAACTCCTACTAAACAATCTGGAAGTGTAAATATTAACATGGTTGGTGAAAATTTGGATGCTGCAGCAGTCATGCCTCATGAATGATGAAAAGTGAGTGGTAGCTTTTCTAGACAAGAGCTAAATATTATTGTTAAGCCTGCAGTGGAAGGTGGTTCTAAGTCAGTTCTAAACTGTTTCTACCATGAACCTACATCTTTATCCCCAACATCTATTGGCCTTTGTTCATTTCACACCTTCAGCCACCTCAAGCTCTTGTATTGAATGTAGTTCCCCAGGGACCTCCTGCACATGCAGCTGATCTTGGGTTTTTTCAGGCTGGGAATTTGACCTTGTTTTTTTTTTTTTCCCCCGGTACGCAGGCCTCTCACTGCTGTGGCCTCTCCTGTTGCGGAGCACAGGCTCCGGACGCGCAGGCTCAGCGGCCATGGCTCACGGGCCCAGCCACTCCGCGGCATGTGGGATCTTCCCAGGTCGGGGCATGAACCCATGTCCCCTGCATCAGCAGGCGGACTCTCAACCACTGTGCCACCAGGGAAGCCCTACCTTGGTTTTTTAACTCTGTATTTTTCTGCACTGTTACCTGTGATCCCACGTTCCAAGAAGGAATGGTGACCTTGCTGGTGTTGGACCTGACCTGTGGAATCACTTATAATCATCTCTCTTCAGCTGGGGCATGCACACCCCTGGGACCATTAGCAGAGTCCCAGTGCACATGGGGAGTGGGGTGGGGGTGATAGTGAAGGTTGGTTTTACTCAAAGATTTTAAAGAACATTTTTATTTATTTGTTTGTTTGGCCGTTCCTTGCAGCTTGCGGGATTTTAGTTCCCTGACCAGGGATTGCGCCTGGGCACCTGGCATTGAAAGTGCCGAGTCCTAACCACTGGACCGCCAGGGAATTCCCTAAGGAAAATTTAAATTTCTTTATAAACCCAGATACACTCTAAATTATGGATGTTAAAAATAAAAGTACAAAACATTTCAAATCTTTATTTCTTACACTCTTTTCTTTTATATTGATATCTTGCCCACATTTTAAATAAATGTACTTTTGAACTTAAAAAGAAACAACAGATACATTGTGCAGTGGAACACAAAATATACATGAATTTAAAGACAAACATAAAATTTAAGGGGCAGACAGCATCGGCCTACATGTTTATCCCACTCTGCCATTTGTCGCCAAAAATCCTTAGGTCTGACTGTCTCTGGAGGTTTGGAGCATCTGGGGATTGCTGACTTTGAGCTGTGTGAAGTCAGGAGCTATTTGAACCATGTGTGTTTAGGGAGGACGGGTGGGCGGTATGTGTTTGTGTATCTGTCGGTCTGCTTTGTACTTTGGGACTCTGAACCCCAGCAGAAGTGGGCTGGCCTCTCCTCTAAGGAATGGGGGTGAGTTGAGTTCTGGTTGAGACAGTTTAGGTGAAAGGATTTAGAAGGTACCCAAACCCCTTGTTGGCCCTGAATCCTCCAACTTAATAGTCAGCTTTTGGAGGCAGGCTTCCTGTGCGGATTAAGACTTTCAGGAGTTGTAGCAACCTCAAATAAAATTCCACACAAACTCTTACTTCCTCTTGGTTAGAGATGTTTGATATAAAGAACCTGTGTCTGCCATTCTTTATATAAGTGGTTCGGCTTCATTGGGGCAATTCCTTTCATTCTCTTTCCCCCTTAGCCTATTTTCAGCATCTGATCTCTTTGCTTCCTTCCTGGCCTTTCAGAATGCCCATCCCTGGTATTAAGTTAATTCTCTCCCCCATCACTGGTCCTGTTTTCTCATGTGCACCAGTTTTGAGCTCCTCTGAACTCCGCTTTGGTCAGTTGACAAATCCATGTGTTATCTGTGAAATATCAATAAATTGAGTTTGGGGTAAGTGCAACTGGGGAGATTCAGCGTGTACCCGAAGAACAGCTTTCTTAGTCGGCTAGTTATGGATGCACTGTGAAATGGTGAAGTGTTGTCTCTGTAGACCTTAGATAGGGAGAGCTGCTCTGAAGTGTGGGTTTTCCCTAAGGTGGTTGCTGGATGAGATGTCTTCTTGAGGCTTCTTCTAGCTGGGTGATTGTGGGGTATTTGATAAGTCCTCTTCACTCACCATTGTGTTTTTCTTGCCTCTTTCCTGGTTTGATATCTGTTGCCTCAAATTTATCATTTTCAATTCTGGAAGTTTTAACCCCTGAAGGAAATAATCTGTGTCTGGCAGCTGCAGAACTGACCCAAGACACTTTCTGTTTCCTGGAAGCTGTAGAACAGTGTTCATATGAGCCAGCAGTTGTTCACATTGTTCTGTTCAAAGCAACTTGTGTGGTTCCATTTACTTTTCCCCTCTGGATTCCTTTTAAAGTTAATAAGTTACTATTGTTTGGTTGTTCGGCTTCTCAAAAATGTTCTGACCTGAGAACTACTCTTTGGTAGTAAGTGTATACAAAAGGAATGCCACTTTCTTTCTTTGTATAAATAGTTCTCTGGAAACCGTTTGCTACTGGCGTAAGCCTCTTTCCTTTACTGTGAACAGGCCGGTGCCGGAGGCTGAGATTTCCCCCTTCTGTGGAGCTCGGTTCATCTGACTTCTGGAGAGTATCCATTTTCTTTCCTATCCTAGGCAAACTTTGGTTACTAAACCAGCTGAAGCTCAGTTGCCCAAGCCCTACTGCTCTTACTAACACTGTCCCTGTTTCTCACCCTTCCTGCCATCGACAAAGCCAGGTAACCCAGCCGCTAAGGTGGGTATAAGTGCTGTAGCTGAGGCAGATGCGGCTGACGCTGTTGGGTCCCCTGTCCCCCCTGACATGGAAGACGATTACGAACCTGAGCTGCTGTTAATGCCATCCAGTCAGCCGGTCAACCAGCCCATTCTGGCAGCGGCTCAGTCATTGCATCGGGAAGCTACCAAGTGGTCTAGTAAGGTACTGATTAGCGCCCCCAGCTGGGGCTGCTCCATATGCATCTGGCCACGTGCAGCCTTGACACATTGCATCACTCATGATCTGTGCGGGTCCTGTGAGTCTGAGCTGGGCGGGCATCTGTCTGTCTGCACCTTGTTTTTAGGACTGGCTTCACAAGTTTGATAGGTCTGCTAATGCCAGATTAACTGGATTGCATTTATGTTTGGGGGTTAGAGAGAGATGGGGTCACTTTTTGAAAGGATTCCTTTTCTTACTGACCTTGTGGCCCATATTGGAACCTTAAATGCCTTGGGAAGCCGTGGATGCCTCTCAGTGACTTTCAGGTCAGGAATCATTGTAGACCATTAAGAGGTCATCTGGCCTGATCATTGGACTTTGCCTGTCCCCCACCTATGCCCCCTCCCCGCTGACCTCTCACTGATGGCTCAGGCAGAGTTGATCAGCGTGAGGAGGGTTTCTGGGGAGGGCTGCTTGCTGTCCTGCACTTGGCTGTGGGGCAGATGCTGGCCTTCATGGGAGCCCATGGGGAATGGGGCTTCACTGACTGGCTTGTTCAGGGGTTTCAGTGGGAGACGGGGTGTGAGTGGGGGACAGATAGCGCTCAAGTCTGCAGGACAGGAACCAACGGAGCTTTGGCCTTAGGGAGTCGGGGATGGGGGCAATCACTTTTTTCCCTTTGAAGGTGGCATGTTGCAAGAAGAAAGGGTTTGAAGAGCGATGGGTAATAACTAACTAACCCTGGCACTACACTGTCCTCTAACCAAGGTCATGAAATCCTGGAATGATCCCAGGTCTGCACTGGAAGAGGTGGGCCCAGCCAGCCTTGTCTAACGTACCCCTATTCTCATGAGTTCTTCCCATGCCTGTGTTCTCTCTGGCCTCAATTACTGCCCGAGATGTTACACACCCTCCAGCGTAAAGATCAGCCACTTCATGGTGCCTGTGGAGGTTTCTCACAGAGCACCCTGCAGTGGCATGGTTTCTGTATGTCTCACTGCATTGTCTAGAAATTGTAAAGCATGAGGGCAAAAATGCGTAGAGCCTGGCCTTTTAGGTAGTTTTGAACATTGCATTTGTTATTTTTGGTTGTTATCAGCCAAAATATCAGCCTTTTGAAGGCATAAAGTACATTACTTGTATATTTCCTTATTATGACCCATGAGGGTTTTAATGAACCAAAATGCCCAGTGTAAGATAAACTGCTGTTAGTTGGAGTGAGGGTTGCATTTACGGCTTGACTCACGATTTTTATTTTCCCAACGCCTCCCCCAGCATCCTCTTAACTGTGAAGGTTTCTTTAATTGAAGCCACTTAGCTGAGAGGACTGCAGAATTGATTCTTGGCCTTTTTAAATGTGAAAAATTAAAATAATATGTTCCTTTAGGCTGAGAGTACAAACAAGAGGCAGTAGAGGGAGGGCAGGAGCAGACTAGGTCAGAAAAAAATTTTTTTTCACCAAGGCTAATAGTTACTTGGTTTAAATTCTAGTTCAGCAGCGACAATCATTGGCTGCTGTCTGTAACAAGGGTAAGGATAAAGAGGATGATTTCAGCATCTGGAAAGGCTCATCTGTATTTTTCCCTTCAGGCCAGCTGTACTGCTTTCCCCCCACAGAAAGGAAAATGCCTATTTAACCAACTTCTTGTGCCCATCCCCAATTTATTGACATGATTAACCTGGAAATGCTGAAATGCTTGTTTAGTGCTATGTCTGGGGCTCACATGTTGCCCTTTCAGATTAATATCCAAGTCTTCCTTTTTTGGTCCAGTGATATCTCCCTCTCTCCCTCTCTCCCTCTCTCTCTCTCTCTCTCTCTCTCTCTCTCTCTCTCAGAGTGCTGGGGTGAGTACCCTGGCTCACTCTTCTGTTTATTTCTCCTGTGCTATATCTGTATCACTCAAGAATAGTCTGTATATCTTCTTCTCACCCCTCCGGAGGGCTGCTAGAGCAGCAGGCTCCCTCCTCTCTTCTCTGTGTTTCTCCTTCCTTCCCTAACTTGGCCAGAGTATGGGCTGAGCTCACACTGTATCTTGCTTCTCTCTAGGGCAATGACATCATTGCAGCAGCCAAGCGCATGGCTCTGCTGATGGCTGAGATGTCTCGGCTGGTCAGAGGGGGCAGCGGTACCAAGCGGGCACTGATTCAGTGTGCCAAGGACATAGCCAAGGCCTCAGATGAGGTGACTCGGTTGGCCAAGGAGGTTGCCAAGCAGTGCACAGATAAGCGGATTAGAACCAACCTCTTACAGGTACTCAGGAAAAGTGTGTGTGTGGGGGGGGGGCAGGGGGTAGGGTGAAAAGCAGGAGAGAGAAAAGTGGGTGAGCAAGGAGGAGGTACTTTAGAATGGGAAGAAATAGCAGAAAGGGGAAATACACATGTGTATTTGGGAAAGACAGATACAGGCAAGTTTATTTCTGAATCAAATGAAAGAATTTTAATGCTTCCATGTCTGGACAGAAGGACTATACTGATCCTAGGGGGAAAACAATTGGAATCCTGCTGCTGATTTACTGAATGCTTTCTGCATGCCAGCCACTGAGAATACAGAGGTGAATTAAGTCCTCAGGGAGCTTGTGGACAAGAAAAACAAAGAAACATACTAAATTAAATTTTCTTTTTAGGTATGCGAGCGAATCCCAACCATAAGCACCCAGCTCAAAATCCTGTCCACGGTGAAGGCCACCATGCTGGGCCGGACCAACATAAGCGACGAGGAGTCTGAGCAGGTATGTGCTTCTGATTTCTCGCCAGCAGCTTCTATTCCACTTGATAGCAATTTAATTCAGCCTTGAGGAAATTTTAACTGTGAAATGGGTATTCAGTATGTAGGATGGAGTCTTCAGTTCTCTCAGAAGGGCATCTGTGTTGGAGAGATGCATCAGAAATTTGGAAAGGGAAGTAAAAAGCTCTTGTGCAACTCTTGTCATTTTACAGATGAGAAATTGAGGCCTTGGGAGGTTAAGTGAATCAGCAGCAGTTAGGACTCTCTACTCGGTTCTTTTCCTCCCTGGAATAGGTTTGGCTCTCTCGAGGCCTCCAATGCCTGTTCAGTCCTGCTCACTCTATCCTTCTGGCTGGAGAATTTCTGCTTCCTTGTTCTCTGGGTGATAAGTACCTCAGGGAGGATGAATAGTATAGGCTTTTCAGGGGCATGAGGTGGTTAGGCCTGTGCTGAGGCTGAAATGACATTTCAAACGAGGTGCTTCTCTTTTGGTTTCTTTGACAGAGAATGAAATAAAGATGGTGGGAGTGTTTGCTTAAGTGTTTCTTGTATGTATCTCGGCAGTCACAGTTTTTTCTCTCCCTGCCTCCTGGAAACGTGGCTCAGGTCTTCTCAGAAAGCTCTCATTTGAGCACCCCTTCCTCTCATTTCCTCTCTAGTAGGCTCTGCTATGAGCCAGACTTAATTTCTTCTTATGGAAGGTAGCACATCTTTTGTTGAACTGCTCAGACAAGCCTCATCATGCAATGGGCTATGTATGTGGCACTGTATTACATACTATGTAGGGGAGTTAACAAAATACACACAATCCCTCTCCTTGTCCGGGCCAGGAGATAGAGGTTAGGAGCACTTTAGAGGAACAGGGAGGCTACTTCTCTTGGTGTCAGTAGTGCTACCTTAACTACCATGGTTTAATTCAACAGCTCTCACCATAACCCTCTCTTCTCCCAAACCATGGGAACTGGATTTTAACCTTTAACTTCCATGTATTCTAGGCAGGGTTTGGGCACTAGGCTATTTCCTGTCATGTGATCTCTCCTGCCCCAAGAAAAGGAAATAGAAAAAACAGGGAAGAAAGGGTAAGACTCAGAGTTTCTGACCTTATCATTTAATCAATTAGCCAACAAAAATGTATCTTGGAAGTATCTACTATGTTTCATTAAATATTCCAGTTAAAAAAAAGAAACAGTGTGGTAGAATGGAAGAAACACAGGATTGCAAGTCAGAAGTTTTGAGGCTCATCCTGACTGTTGTGTGAGTTGGGCTGGCAAGTCTCCGAATCACCCTGGGCCTCAGCCTCTTTGTTGACCAAGCGAAAAGATTAACTGATTGGGAATTCTAGTCCATAGTTATGCCTCTCAGAGCCCGTGCACCCTCTGAAATTGCATGTACAAATTCTGTGCACGTGAGCAGTTTTTTCTGGGGAGAATCCACAGCCTTCATTAAACCCTCAAAGGGTCTGTAGCTCAAAAATATTTAAGAATTAAAAAAAATTACTGAGTTAATGGATTGATGTTAGTTACTAGTGTGATCTCAGTCCTGTATTTTGTATGTTTACAAGATTTACTTATTTAGATTTTCATGGATTTATAAGGTGGTTGGTTTACTTGGTTAGTTTTTCATGTGTTAATTAAATGTTTATGAAATGCCTCGTGACAGGCACTGATGTAACACTAGGGTACAGCAGAGAACAAAACTGACAAAAATTGCTGCCCTCATGGAACTTAAATTTTAGATAAAATTAGATAAAACATCAGATAAACAACCTAGGTAAAACATATAGTACATCAATTAGTGATGGTAAGTTCTGTAGAGAAAAGTGAAGAAAGAATTGGAGGATGAAGCATGCTGGGAGTTGGGAAGGTGGTTTGTGATTTAAAATAAGGTAAGCAGGAAAAGCCTCAGCAAGGTGACAACTGGGCAAGGATCTGAAGGTGAGAGGTGAGCCATGGGATACCTGGGGGAAGAGCATTCTAGGTAGCGGGGACTGCAGGAGCCCGAGGTAGGGGCTTGTTTGAACACCAGGAAGGGAGTATACACTAGAAGCCACCTAAGGGTACAGTATAAAATCAGTGATGGTCCAGTTTTGGGTTCTTTTTGGTGATCCAGCTATAAACCACCAGTGATATGACAAATACAAGGGATGCCAGGTACAGGTAGGGTAAACTGCATTGCATTCCTGGCTTAAGCCTGTTTCAGAGGCAGGGCTCCATCAGCGACTGTGAGTAATGGAGAGCTCCTCTTTCCTTACAGGCCACAGAGATGCTGGTTCACAATGCCCAGAACCTCATGCAGTCTGTGAAGGAGACTGTTCGAGAAGCAGAAGCAGCTTCAATCAAAATTCGAACAGATGCTGGGTTTACACTGCGCTGGGTTAGAAAGACTCCCTGGTACCAGTAGACACCTGGTTGAACCTGGCTAACACAGAAGCCCCTGCTGAA